TCTATTAAAAATACACACTATTTATATTATCCCCATCAGCATCGTTTAGTCAGATCGATATTTGGAATTTAAACAAATATATTACTTGGATAACTAAATAACATGCAAACACAAATAAATATTACTAGTATTTCAAACAAAATAATTTAATTGAGTTGGTTTAGTTAATTCTTTACTAAAAAATTTTTATGGTTGAAATGAATAAACTATATCTTTCTTTGTGCAACTAAAGAATTGTTGAATTAACTATTAGATCAAACAACTATACAACGGATTGTTTGTATGTCTAACATAATTATAATACGATACAATTGTTAAAACTAATGTGCCAAAATTATTATTTAGCGGTAATATAAAAAACTGAACTAAAAATATCTCAATTTCTCCTTTCTATATATGATAGAGAATTGAGAAAAGAAACATAAAATTTAGTTCGTACAATCAATTTTTTTTCTCAGTGTACACGGAGAGAATTTTTTTTTAAATTTACCCTGCAAATCATGTTAATTATATATGGGACAATATAGTATTTAGGCAAATTTTACTGTGCACTACAATAAGATTTTGCAGTAAAATTTATTGTAGTGCACAGTAAAATTTACCTAAATACTACATTGTCTCACAATTAACATGATTTTCAGGGTAAATTTTAAAAGAAAATTCTCTTCGTGTATGATTAAAAAATTTTATGTTTCTTTTCTCAATTCTCTATCATATATAGAAAGGAGAAATCGAGATATGTTTAGTTCAGTTTTTTATATTACCGCTAAATAATAATTTTGGCACATTAGTTTTAACAATTGTATCGTATTATAATTATGTTAGACATACAAACAATCCGTTGCGATCAGAAGTAATGAAATATATATATATCGGACTAACGTACGGAAATAAATAAACTATTTTTCTTTCAGCAAGCGTACCTTTGTGCTTAAACAACAGTCAAATTGCAACTTTAATCAATGTGCTCTTAATGCAACTGGGATCGACAGAGTTTTCTGTCTGCCGTAGATACGCTATATTGGTCTTTCGCTTTTGTTTTTTACGGAGAAAATACCGGGAAAAGGTTCAGAATACAAGTTGTAGCATATGACGATAAGGAGATAAATGTTTAACCGTGAGAAATTTGTCCCGGCGAATATAAAAGCATTGAATCAATAATAATTCTGTTTTAAAAAATTATATTAAGTTCGTATCTTTCGATTAAAGAGTTTCATGCACGAAAAACGAGACATGCTCAACTTTTCAATTTCACTGAAATGATAAGAGCTGCAGGAGATGAGATATTTGTCGTACATTTTGATTTAATAATATCTTTATAAAGTGAATGCAAAATAGATACATATAAATATAGCAGATGCGAAATAAAGTCGCTACCAGGATGAAACTACGGGGGTGACTGAAATGTCCCCTCTTGGTGAAGAAGTGCAGTCACGAAATACAAACAGATCTCGGATAATTGAAATGCTTCCGGGGTCGCGAATGAAGGCAGGAGGGGAAGTCGTCGGCGAGCATTTCCTTTTTCGCGCTATGTAAATTGCATTACCGAGCGACCGTTAGATATCAGTGTCGCGCGAAAAAAAAAAATCAAATTGCGCTTCGCCGGTGTACCGCTCGTTTCCTCCTGGTCGACGCGGCGCGGCCATTAAACATTCATATTCTCGCGGGCGTAAACTTTAAAATTCTGTCATGAATGTCGAACTTTTCCTTTATCGCGTCGCGCGCGCGCGCGCCCCACTGAAACTTCTTCTCCGACTTAAACGACGTGAAATGCCGCCTAGTAAAGAGGTGTACTCAGAATCTTTCGACTCTTATGCAAAAAAAAAGGAGAGAAGGAAAAAATCCGATAATTCTATTTTCGCACTGAATTTCTACTTAACCAGTTGCTTTTTAAATTTGACAATAGTAATTTCTTATCGAAAAGTCTGTCAGTGACATTTCCTTTTTACGCTGTGCTGTTAAAAATCGATTTAAAAAGATTAATATTAGTCTCATGCCTGACAAAATATTAGCTTATGCACACGTTTTATATACTTTTTATATACTTTAAGAGAATTTATTCTTTAAGAAGAAAAATACGAACTAAAAAAATTTCCTATATTAACGAGCTCTTAATCTTTGACACTCTTTAATGGTATAGTTACGCTGCTATTTCCGAAGTGCATTCATATATCAATTTCTCTACATCGATTTCTATTGTCTTTTGATAATAGAAACTATCGCGTTCTAAATTGCTGCGTATCTCGATCTACGACGATGAAAGACTGTCTTATCTGATAGATCGGCTTATTTGTTAAAACTGAGAATAGTGCGAAGACGGCGATCGCGAACGTTCGACGTGACCGCGAGAAGAAAGATTCGGCTACCACACGCATTGTTTTACGCACAATCTATTCCCCGTCGTTGTTAAAAACGATCGTTTATTGTTCGAAGATCGCGGACACTTGTCGCAATGTTTGAATTGACGAAATCGATGACGAAAGACGCGCGGCGTCGCGACGAGCGTCGTCCGCGCGAGCAGCCGTGCTACGAGACGTGTGAACCCCGTGTGGGACTAACGCGCGGCATTTTCTGTATAGATCGTATACGATTTCTGCGTGTATTGCATTCATCGAAATACAATATGTGAGATATGGTAAAAAATTGAATACATACCTGACAGATCCAGTCGAATTACTCGAAGCCATGCCTTTATGATCGGAGCAACGGAAGTCAATGCATGAAGACCGAAAGTCCAAGAGTCCACCGTTGCTGCACACTTCGAAAATCCATCCGTCGCTCCCATTTTCTCCCTCGACTGTATACCTGAATCACATATCACACGCACGCATGAGACACTCGCTATATGCACGATACCTCGTCCACGTCGAACAGAAGCGCGAGACTCCGCGCGAAAGCAAACGCGGCTAACTAATTACCGCGTCGATCGACAGAAGTTTGCTCGACGAAAGGCACGAAAGTGGCAATCGTGATCGAACGTTCGTCGATAGTTCACGAGCGAATCTGATCGCCGCACGCATTATTTTACGCGTAATCGATTCCGTGTCGCTGTGGGGAACAGATATATCGCAGAAACTTACCGCGCTCGTGCGTTCGAACCGGCGAAATTGACGACGAAAGCGCGCGCGTCTCGCGGCAAGCGTTCCCTCGCTGCGGCGTCGCCGGCGTCTGCGCGAGTCCCCGCGCGCCCTGCCGCGAGTCGCGTGAACCCCGTGGTACTACGTCACGGTGACGTCACGCTCGTTGCGCGCGCAGTGCGCGGCACGTTCAAAACGCGGTACGATACCTACCTGTGTACCGCGCGGTATTTATGTTCATTTCTGTCAATGTAGATTAACTTTAATCACGGTTTTATTTACTTTTTATCTTTTTCTAATTCTTAAAACTAGAAAAAGATACAAAATAAGTTAAACCTGGATTAAAGTTAATCTACGTTGGTAGAATAATATACATTAATGCGACATTTAGGTCCATTTCTTCCAATGTAGATTAACTTTAATCTCGTTTTAATTTATTCTTTATCTTTTTATATCTTCTTCTAATTCTTAGAACGAGAGAAAGACAAAAGTTAAGTTAAATCGAGATTAAAGTTAATCTATATTGACAGAAATGGATATTAATCTAGCGCGGATATATAAATCAAAATTGCAATAAATGATGATACAATAAAGAAAATCTTTTATATATATATATATATATATATATATAATAATAAAAATATATTATATATATATAAAACGAAACTGACATAGCATTGTGAAATAAAAGGATCAGTTCCGTCGCTGTTAGAAATTTCACGGATCCATTCTAGTTCTCGTAGTGTCCGCTAGATTGCTGATCAAATTGACATTGAAGCTCAACAGGACTTTCTCGAAAGCAGCCTTAAACACGCCTTGTAGTATATATACGATGATAAATAAAGCTTCAACTGTACTTGCTTCGGCAGTACATATACTAAAATTGGAACGATACAGAGAAGATTAGCATGGCCCCTGCGCAAGGATGACACGCAAAATCGTGAAGCGTTCCACATTTTTTGGCAAAATTTACAAGAAATTTTTTTATTTTACTTTATCTTGAATTTAACTTTATTAATTCCTTAACATTAGATATTTTATTTGTAATATATTTGATTTTAACAACTTGATTCAATTTTAAATTTGCTAATCTTATAAAATAAAATAGTCTACGATAATAGATATTCTCATAGACTATTTTATTTTATAAGATTAGCAAATTTAAAATTGAATCAAGTTGTTAAAATCAAATATATTACAAATAAAATATCTAATGTTAAGGAACTGTCTCTTATACACATCTCTGAGCGGGCTGGCAAGGCAGA